GGAATTTCAAGGATATTGGAGACTTGGAAATGATTCAGAGAAAAGCTGTGGCTCAGTGACAGAGCTGGAACATATAAATCTTTTTCTTTCACAAAAAATATTTTTATAAAATAAGAATAATTTCTTATTTCATTACCACATTCTAGTGACTCATCATTCATTTATTATTTTCTCTTACCCTTCCAAAATACCCTCCTCTGTAAAGACATTGCAAAGTGCACAGCACATTCAAGAAAGCGTAAAGGGAAATTTGTGACAAATATGACAAATTTGTGAGCACATATGTCCTCCTAGCAGAGGGAAAGCAAGTATTTCAGTGAGATGTTACACTTTTTTTGTTGTTATTTATTTGTTTGAACAATAAATTACCCTTAGCCACTTACCAAAAAGCCTTTTGGTACTGTGTTATTTCTATACCTGCAAGACAGCCTGCATGGAATTTACTGAAAATGAGATCTGTCTCTGAAAGCCCCTCGTTTGCTTACCCTGTCCTGCTCCACAGTTGTAAAGTTTGTGTTGTTGCTATGTCTGCAACATTGCTGCTGCCTCAGACTGAGAACTGCTCCTTGATAAGACAGGGAATTATTCCAAAAAAAAAAAAAAAAAAAGTATATTTATAGAAGCAAGGCTGACAAGGGTGGGGGGAGGGTATGGAGTGAATTGGAGAACAGGGAACAAGCACTCATGCTTGAAACCCCTTGCTTGTGCAATAATGAGCTTGAAAGCCTTGCTGAAGTGGTTTTACAGCTGTGCAACAAAATGGTGCGCTCTCCTCCCTTAATACTGACATTTTAATGTAGGATCACAGCTATTCAGATTGTCCATTGGAGCTGGCAGGCTGATGGTGTGAGCAACTACGCACTCTCATCAATGTCGCTTGGATGAAAGCTGCTGTCAGGCTCAATAAAATGGCAGGCTAGGCCAATCTGGCACACATGAAAGGAAACTGGAAGAAAGGCTTAATTGCACCTCCAGCAGATTCCAGTTATTCTGCTGGTCTGTTAACAACACGCAGCCTGGCATGCCAGGCCTGTCCAGTCCGCTGTGCTGCGCTGGTAGGAAAAAAAACTCCTTGAAGGTATGGCACAAATGTGCTCTGGGTTAGACCACCATAAACCCAAGCCAAGAGGTCACAAGCCTTCTCAGCTGACTTGGCAGCAGCTGCTGCATCCAGCAAAACACTGAGAACAGAGAAAGGATCCCTAAAAAAGGGTTGAGTTGATTCATTCTTGAGGGACTAGACTAGGATCCACCAGAACTGGGCAGGTGCCAAGATGGGCTGGGCACTCTTCTGAGACATCTCAGAGAAGCTCCAGTAGGAAGAGCACACATTAAAGAGAGACGTTAAGCCAAAGGAGGGGAGAAGAGGCATGACTGCTGAAACTGAATACTGCGACATTCACTCTGAGCAGAGTGCTGGGTGGCATCAAGGATGGACAAACTAGGCATTTGTATATTTTGTCTGATGGTAGGAGATTGAGGAAGAACAAAATACTGAGTTTTATTAATTCTCTAATTTGTGTTAAGTGGTCATGGTGATCATGACCTATTGTTGGAATGTTTGCAAAAAAATGTTTTCTGCTCATGGGTGTAAGGAGGCAAGAAAGAAAAATGTACTGGATACAAATATCTTTCCTAAAGATAGGGAGCAACAAGCCCTTGAAGTCATATTTTTCCTCTTAAACGGGACTGAGATAGTGGGAAGTAATGAGATTCCCTTTGCTAGCATCACAATGTGAAACTATGGAAAGAAATTCTCTAATTTATAAAATATAAAAGATAAAAAAAAGAGGCTTCATACTTGCAAGATGAGGCAGAATTACTCTTTTTTGTAGATCAACACCAAGTGGCCACAGGGTAAAATATTTAGTCCATCCATTCAGTCTGTGTATGAGGATTACATGATTTCTTAGTATTTTTATTTCTTGCTATTTTTTAAATTTACTTGCAGGCATGTTCAAGGACCTCATATAACAGATCCAAGACTGCTATTTTATTACTTTTTGAAGCATGATAAAAGGGAATTACACTGAACAAATATTAACATTTTCTATAGAGTTATTCTTTTGTAGCACAGTCTAGAATTACTCAAGAATATTATGTATTGTGATACGCTGAGGAAAAAGAATATATCCCTGTCTTGTGATAAATCCAATTTCAGTTGCACAAACCCTGACATTTCTAACTCTGATTGGATCACAACCTCACTGTCACCTATACTTTGTGTTCTTTTACTATCTGAGAATGAATGGATCTTCTTACTGTTAGGCACCCAGTACCTACACAACCAGTAGGAGAGACACTTTGGTCATCAGTATTGAAATTACCCCTATTTTTGGAACCTCTGCAAAGGAAATTTGAGTAAATGAACTTAGTAGCTCATCCATATAATGACCTGCCAAAAATAGAGAGCACAGTAACTTCCCACAGGACATGGATAGCTAGAAAGCTGCAAAGCTCCTTCTGTCAGCCTGACAAAAATAAGGAGAAATTCTTATTCTTTCCTTAAAGAGAAGCCTCTCTGTTTCCCATGGAGTTTCCATGCTAAAAAGCCAAGTTGCCTCAGCTTAAGATCACAGTTATAAAAAAATTAGACCAAGAAGGCTGTGATTTTTCAGCACACAGTAGCAGAGTAGGCAGTTTATGAGAAATTTGGTTTGGATAAGTAATTCTTATAAGGCACTAGTAATTCTGCTCTGCCTATTTTCTTTCTCCAAAGTACATTATGGTTCCCCAGATCAAACAGTGAAGTCATGTATGTGTCTGGATCTGGGGACGCTGAAACAATACACTCATTGCCTTGAGAAGATGGAATAGACAGTTCCACTGATTCAAAGTGCACTTGGGATAATATTCCAGAGACCCAGGCTTGGAATCATTTTTTGAGGGCTTGGAAATACACATATCAGAATTTTTGCAGCATGCTTGTGTCTACTGAGCTTTAAACTTGGCAGCAGTGCAGAAGATATTAAAAATACATGAAGCTTCCTTTAATGTAAAGTCCTCTGATGGTAAAGTGGATGGTCACTGAAATGGCCAAAGCCATTCCCTTCAGATGATTTCAGGAAAGAAATGCATCCTTAACTCAGTTGCATATGACACAAATATTCATCATCCTAAAAATGACACAGGGATCAATAAAAACTGGAAGAACTTCAGGACATATCCTTTCCTAATTGAAAAGCTTAACATGACCATTTCAACAAGAATAATATACCCAGATTTGACCTACTTAAAAATAAAAAAAAAAATCATTTTGTGGCTGCTTGTGTCACTGTATATACTTGTTTCCTTCAAGATAACTTTATAAAATATATAAATATTCCTTGCCAGCATTTTGATCCAAAAGTTTCATCCTTCAATAGTGCACATAATAGAATTGGTCAGATTTGAAGCATGGGAGCACTTTTTTATCTTGGATCTTTAATATTTTACAGTTCAGGCAACAGAATTTAACCAAACCATTGCAGATATAACTAATAAGATCTACCCTCACAAAAATTCTTATAGTATAGCTTTCATTTTGTTTCTTGATTTCCTGATTTATGTGTAGTAAAAACAGGGTTTCAATAAGATATAAAATTTGCATTCTTATTTAATTATCTCATGAGACAATTAATGTCCCTAAAAATTCCATATTTTGGCCACAAAACAGATTTAGTAAAAACAAGAGTGGCAGCACTAAAGTCAAAAGAAAGGTCTATTAAATCAGTAACCCTACTGATTTAAATAGGACTAGGACTGCACCCTGTGACTTTACGCATACTTATCATGCAAATTTCCAGAACATCCTAGTAAGCTTTTCATTCTAAGGAACTTACAAGGTCCTGCCTCCAACAAACTGTTTCCTAGAGATGCACTTATCACTCACACTTAAACCTCTTCTCTATCCTAAACTTACTGGTTTCTAGAACAAGATGAGAGTTTGGATCACGTAACAGTGCTCCTAAGCCTCTTAAAATTATGAAATTATGCTGCAAATTTTAGGAGAATGGGTTTGTTTAAAATATTTAATAGTATCTTTCACCATTCCGATAGAAAAATATTAATTTTCAATCTTAAGAAGTATCTCTTCTCAGAAAGTTTTTATTTTGCTCTTCTATGCCAATAACATGACACATATTTTTCTAACTCACAACATACCCTGAGGTTCAGTCTTCAGAAAGACACTGAGAACCATACATTGCTTTATTTCTTTCTGGTAGACAAAATCCCCTTATAAATAGAGTTGCCATGACTAAGAGGAAAGTCCTGTAAAACCAGGTGATAATGAATAAGATATTTTAATAGTTTAGTTTAAAATGCTCTGTTTTAAGATAATGCTAGAAAGTGACCAGTCACCAAATGTAACAGGCAAGATAAGGCAAATGAAATGTAGAAATCAGGGATGTAAAATAATCATCAAGCTAAGACTCATTATACACAAAGTTAACAACTGAAAAATTAAATGTATGGTTTAAACTAACTTAGATTTCCTCTAAACAGAGAAACTAAAATTCAGCAGGCAATTCCCCTCACTCTAAAATGGTTTCTGAAAATTAGATCAACTGCCTTGAAGGTGCCAGTCTCTAACCAGTGACTACTGCTGACCTCGAGACATCTAAGTTAAAGTGGGCATCTATCTTCTGACCAGCTGCTGACACTCACTAAACTGCATGGCAAAGCTAGTAGGAATACAGTGCATCAGTAGGAGACTGGATGTCCTGTGGTTTGTGTTTAGAAATTCCTGCACCTCTAACAGAGACACAAATAGTGATGCTGAGTTCTAGGGGAGTTCTAGGGGAGTCCTCATGCGCAGTTCTAAAGGAGTTTTGATGCGAGGCAGTGGCAGTAGCTGGCTTTTGGCTGACTCCAGTGAGTTGCATGTCAAGAAAGTATGTCATGCACAGGTGACAACAAAACTGACCCAACAGGTAATCCCTGAGAAAACTTATACATCCAGCAGGGAAACAGGACAGCAAGGAAAACAATTTTATTTTGGTACAGGATGAACAAAGTACCTCAAAGTTGTGCTGTGACCACTTCAGTTTGCTCCTGTTGTTTCTAGCTGGAAAATCAGTTTCTTCTTCTGTAGTTTCCTGCCTCCTGATGACAATAGAGAGAACATATACTCGGTATTTAATGACGAGAAGCTGCAGCGCATACTAATGGTGCCATAGCTTCTAATATCATCCAATATCCCCTGCTGGCTTTGCAATTACATACACATGGAGCAGGGAAGTGGCATGTGGCACTCCCGGTGAGGATAAACAGGTGTCTAGAATTACCTACTGACATCTCTCAGAGGAAGAAGGTAAGTGTGAGTTAACTGACCCCACACACAGCTCTGAATGCCTTGGGGTCCCTAAGGGCAAAGGCTGATGTTGGAATAAGGGGAGTCTGGTCTGTGTGTCTGAGCGACTACCCTAAACTCCCTTCCCCCTCTCCTGGTTAGGAGGACACTTCTTATAACCAAGCCAAAACCCAATGTTTTGTCACCCACTATTGCACTCAGTGTAAAGGTAATTAATCAGAACATATTTAACAACAATAATCAAAGCATATGTAATCAGGGTCTTCATCTTCAGTTTGTGGTATTCCTTTCCACTGAATTATACATGTATGAAGTTCAGGAGAAAAAGAAGTGTTCTCACCTTGGGATTGGGAAGATAATTTTATTTCTCCTGTGTACTTTTTCCCTTAGACAGGAAAAAAAAATAACAAATGGACAGAGGGAAACTTTTAGAAGAGGGTTTTCATTGTTTCTAGGGTTAACAAACCAACAGTATTTTGTGTCTCTGCTGTTATTTAATGCTGCAACCTGTACTAGATTAAATTACATGGCAGAGTACCACAGTGTATTGGACAGCAGGCAAAGAACACACTATGCTCTACTCATTACTGTGCCTTTGACTAAGTATGTGAATTTGAGTGCACCTCCATTCTATAGAATCCTATATCCTATAAAGAATATTGATCCCTGTTTAGACTCAGTTTTCAAGACCAGGCTTCTCTCTTAATTGTATAAGGAAATACATGGCTGAGTCACTTTTTTTTCTTTTGGTTTTCACTGGAAGTCAAATGACTTTGAGTGGGTCTTTTGTAGACTCTCAGGGCAAAACTGTTAGCTTTTTATATTTCACAGAAAAAAATAAAATATTGCCAAAATTAAGCTATTTTTTAAAATCACTGAGATTTAAAAAAAAAAATTGGCTTTTCTACTCATAACTGAAATGTGCTTATTCACATACATGCATGCCTATATGAGTGTGCCTATATGATAAGTGTTACTATTTGAGAGAGACAGAAGAGATAGAGAAAGGGAGAGAGAGATAACAGCATGCCTTTGGTAGTCATTACTTCTGCATTACTTCTTCTTCAAATAGGCATCACTTTTTACTCCTGAAATTGTAAGTTTAGTCGGGGAGCCTCAAATTTCATTAAATCTCATGTTTCTATTTTGGCATGAGAGCAGGAAAACCAAATCGTGAACTAAACAATTTCTTTGGATACATCTCACCAAAGCGAGAGCTGTGGATCTGTGAAACCAGTGAGTGACTTGGTTGTTTTCTACTCTTCCATCTACAAGATTCTCTAACTCTGTTATCTTTTCAATTCCTTTATGTTTTGAGTCCAGGGAGGGAGGAGGGGGTTTGCAATTAAAACCGGCACAGGTCACTGCGTTGAGATGAAAGACGTTGAAGGCAGGCACCTGCCCGGGTGTTGGCGTGGAGATGGATGATGAATTGAACACTGCCACCTTTTGGCTGTGGCCACGGCCAGGGAGTTGCGACAAGGCTATTTTTGCCAGACTTCCTTCTAGAGCGGGCTGGGCATCTGGCAAAAGCACCCTTTCGTGCCAACCCAACGTTGGCTGCACTTCGTAGCACAGCCCAGGTTAGCACACACCATGTTGCCATCACGTACCTTAGATTTTGCCCCTTATCGGTAAGGTCCTCGGAACTGAGAAGATGGGCTAATAATACGAAGAGCTGTTAGCTTTACTAAAGACTAAGTGCAATCAAGTTGATGTAAACAGTCACTTCAGCCTGACTGTGGTACACTGTTTCTGCCTCAGGAATACTTGAGAGTATCTCGCATTGTGTTGTGCTGAAATAGTGTTTTCTCAAGCGGTGAATTATATACAGTTTGTACTTCAACCTCTTTTGAGCACTTAGCTGTGAATGTTTGTATCAGTGCCAGTGAGTGTGAGGTGATCTCATTAGAAAGAGAAAGAAAATACTATCAGCCACAGAATTATTTCACGGTGATTAAATGACAAGCTCTTATTCATGTTACTTCTTCAGTTCTTACACAGGTGTAACAAAAAAAAAAA